CTCGCTCTCTCTCTCCCCCCCCCTCTCTCCCTCTCTCTTATCATGGTATCAGAGCAACCCAGGTTCAAATCCCACCGGCCACAAATTTTAAGCGGATTTTCTAAAAATTGATACCGATGCGTGAGTCCAGGTTTTAGTCCATAAAAAAGGCGTTCAACCTACGAGGACATGTTAGAATTACTCTCTCTCTCTCTCTCTCTCTCTCTCTCTCTCTCCCCCCCCCTCTCTCCCTCTCTCTTATCATGGTATCAGAGCAACCCAGGTTCAAATCCCACCGGCCACAAATTTTAAGCGGATTTTCTAAAAATTGATACCGATGCGTGAGTCCAGGTTTTAGTCCATAAAAAAGGCGTTCAACCTACGAGGACATGTTAGAATTAATATAAAAATTTAATTATCGATCTTCACCATAACTTCGGAGTTTTGGTGTAATGGTTAGAAGAGCTAAATTTAAGAAAATGAAAATATGAGCTTTTCCATTTATGCCTCATTATTTTTTGGCAAATTTTAGTGACATAAGTTTGACTTCATGTTCTAAAAGAAATATATAAAGTAACCGTTGATGGATTACTATTGAGTTTCCTTTTGTCTAATAGAACTATTTATTCTTAAGTACTTCAACATAATAAACTGTCCTTGTTTGTATAGCTCGTATATGCAGTTGTATTTCAAATACCGTACTTCTCCAGATGAATCCTTTGGAAAAACTTGTTATTGTAATTGTAAAATTGTGGTAAAATCCAGCATCATCGAGAGCAAATAATTTCCACATTTTCACTATTTGAAGAATGTCCAATAATACAAACACAACTCTATGTGATATATAATCATACGATATCATATCATACTCCTTATAAAAGCGTGAGTAAATTTTCCACGGACAAAAATAACCTTGATCTTTCTAGATATTACATTATAATGGTATTCTAACTAATATGTTTAATTAGGTCATCAATCTGAAGAAATTACAGAAACTCAGAAGAATCAGGCAAACCAGGCGGCGGTCGACCGGTCCGGTCGACCGACGCTGTTTTGGGCTGGGCTTTCAGGTTTTCGACCCGATTCGTTTTGTAAGTTCTATATATACCTAAACCTGTTTGTTTAGGGTAGAGGTTGGACGAATTTGAGCAGCCAAAGAGAGAGAATCATTGCATCCAATTGGGAGAGAGCTTTGAGAGATCTAGAGTTTTGTTTTAGGGTTTGGTCTGAGAGATTTGTAACCCTATTTGTATTCTCTTGATTTCTAGTAGAAAGAACTCCCCCCTCCTTGCCCCGTGGACGTAGGCAACTTGCCGAACCACGTAAATTATGTGTTCTTGCTGTGATTGTGGTTTGCATATTGTTTGTGGTTTAGTTCGAGTTATTGTTCGTGTTGCCCTAGAAAGCTTCCGCCGCGCACAACACAATCCACTTTTGCTATTAGTTAAAAGTTAATCCAAACTTAAAATCATCTATGAGGGTTCATATCACAATCTACTTTGCTAGCTATATATTAGAAGCTGATTAAATTTAAAATCATCTGTGAGTGTTGATATGTATCTGGATATAATTTTAGGTCAACTAAACAATTACAAAACAGAATCTAATTCGTTATACAATGATGACAAAATATAAGAGAGAGTTCGAATACAATTTCAATTTCCACTAACAAACTGATTCAATTTTATTGGGTAAAATAAAACTAAAAAAAAAGCCGATTCAATTTTACACGAACAACTTATTGGATTCTGATCAATGTGCTATGGGTTTAAAAAAAACATTAGTTGAGGCTTGGGAAAATTATGAACTGTATTTGAAACTTCGAACCTTCAGTTGGCTCTGTACAACCTTCAGATTTTTATTTTATTTTATTTTAAAAATGGTTAGGATTGCAAATCTAAATTAATATCTAGATACACGTTAATTATTAATTAGGCGATTAATTTCAATGAAGGATTAGATGATATGTGCCGTTGAGTTTAACAAATAATAGAAATTAACGGGTATATTAATTCCAATAGAGTTTTAGGATTGAACTTCAAATTAGGTAGAGTTCGACTTAGCTAGGATAGGATATCAGTACTGATGAGGGTATTAAAAGAAGTATTAAGGCCTGCAAGTAACTTAAAATGTCCAAAATAACTTCATCTTTCAGAGTTTGAGTTATTGTAGAATTCTTAGGTAATTAGTTATTTGCTTAATTAAGCGTTTATATATATAGGCTGCGTTAGGGCTGTCCATCCGGGCCGGCCCGGCCCGGCCCGAAAAACCGGGCCCGGGCCGGGCAAAACCCAAGCCCGGACCCGGGCCTGGGTGGTCCGGGCCGGCCCGGATTTTTTTGTTTTTTTATTTTTTTATTTTTTTTAAAATTTTAAAAAATAATAAAACATAAAAATTATATTTATATAATAGTATATATATATTTATACTCTTATATAAATATAATTATATTATATGTACATATAAGTTTATGTTTATATATATGTATAGATATATAAATATATATTTATACTCTTATATGTATTTATACTATTATATAAATATACTTATATATGTACATATAAGTTTATGTTTATATATGTGTATATATAAGTATACTTATATACTAAGAGAGAGAGAATATAAATATATATATAAGAGAGAGTATACACTGTACACATATATAAGAGAGAGCATACTTATACATATATATAATTATATAAGAGATATAAACATATATAAGAGAGAATATACTTATATTTATATATACTTATATACTAAGTAGCCCAAAGTATTCATGTCATTCAATATATGTATATGTATATATATACACACACACTGACACACATATACATATATTATACATAAACAAATTGTAAATACTTATAGTAATTACATAAACAAATTGTATTATACATAAAAACACACACACATATAAACTTATATATACACACATATATTATACATATATAAGAGAGAGTATACTTATATATACTTATACATATATTATACATATATAAGAGAGAGTATACTTATACATTATACTTATATATATATATATAT